GGTGGGTGAACAGAGGACTTTGTGTGATACCTTCATGAATGAAATTTCCGGCGTGCAACCCAAATAGCCCAGAGTGTGACTCCATTCTCACAAATTCCACATGAGAAAACGCATCCATGAGCGCAAAGATCCAGTGTTTTGCCCTCGGCTCCGTGCTAGTGATCATCCGGTCTACTATGTCTCCTTTATCTAGCGCCCATATACATCTCGCCATTGAGCACTCTAGGAGCGAGTGTCTCCAGGAATATGGCGGTCGATATAATTTTTTTTAGTAAATGGCAGTCGATATAAATGTACTAATTTTTTTGAGACAAATTCGGTGTTTTGATCTTCTGGAAGGGCCTGCGTGCAGAGACCACCGGCCCGGGCCACGTGAACAAAACCTAAGCAGGCCTTATTTGTTCCCTTTTGCTATTATTATCCAAGCAGGCCCCTGGTCTACCCACGTAGCACAAAGCCTAAAAGGCCCAGATCTCGGCACCGCCTCCCGAAAAGACGACCCCGCCGGCACTCTCCCTCCATTCTTCGCAGTCGTCGCCTCCCACTCCAAAGTTCCAAATCCCCCACCTCCTCACCGCGAACCGGGCGCGATGGAGCTGGAGCTCGAAGCAGGCGGCGGCGGAAGAGTGGTTCCCCTCTCCAGCGAGTCCCCGGCGGCCGACCTCGGCCGCGGCGACCAGGCTCCGGCAGACCTCAACGTGTCGCGCCGCCACGTGTCGCTCCGCCTCGTGGGCGGCGGAGAGCCTAGGGTCGCCTTCGACGTCGTGGGGAGGAACCCCGTGCTCGTCCGCTCGTCGTTCGGCGGAGACAAGGTGTACCGCCGCGGCGAGGCGGGCGAGCTCCGGGCCGGGGACGGGCTGTCTCTGTCGCTCTCGGCGCCGTCGTTCTGGACGGTGCGGAGGACGGGCGGGGAGGGGGAGGCCGGTGCGGGTGAGGAGGCGGAGGTGGACACCGCGGTGCTGGACGCGGTGGCGAGGCGGGAGAAGCGGACGCGGGAGAGGAAGGAGAGGGAAAGGGAGAGGCGAGCAGCGGAGGAGGCTACGGAGGGGACGAAGGAGGAGGTTATGGCGGCGTCCGGTGATGACGAGTTGGATGAGGAAGTAGAGGATCTCAAAATTGATCTTGAAAGCATCGACCCCGTTCAAGGTGAGCTTGGGTTTGGTTGTTCTTCCTTTCAGAGAGAGAATGCAATCTCGGTGCCGGGAAATTTGTTGGTAGCAATGTTGCAGAGAGAAATTGTTATGGCATTCGGGTCTGGTTACATTGGAGTAGATTGCATTACTGCATTGCCTGTTTTCTAACTCTGCCTCTTATGGTTAGGATGTGTTAGTTATTGGTTAATGATAGTACATGTTTAACGGCTGCTAATTTCTGTGTACATTATGTTCATTTGAAATGGCAGAAGCCAGGAAAAATAATTGCTATACATTAGGAATTGATTGGGTTCGTTGTAATTTACGATTCGGCCGAGTCTGCTTCATACATGCTATTGTTCTTTAAGTTATGAGCTAAAAAAATTCATTCCTGATGTTGAAATAAGTTGTTCGTTCTTTTCTTAAATCTAAAGCTATATAGGTAATTAAGTTGATGCTCCCGTATTACCAGAAGTTCTTTCTGCTTTTACACTTTGCCTTTTCCGTGTCAGTGACTAAGGAGTATAATTTTGGCTGCAGAGTTTGGGTTTTTGTCGATGGGTCATGAATTTGACAATTACCCTAAGGGCAGAATTCGCCCTCCGAAGGATTGGAACTGGTTCCTAGAGGAAATAACGAAGGGCAGCGATGATGAAGATGATGACGATGTCAGTAACACGGGACGTAAATCAAGGGGTCGTAGTGGTGCGAACAAGAAGAAAAAGAGAGGGGGTGAAGATGATGATGAGTGGACTGATCAGAGCGAGGATGGAAAAGACTCCCTGCTAACAGGCTCTAGCATGAAGAGACCAAAAAAGTATGTAACAAGATCGAAAGACCCCAAAAAACCTCGCAAGGAGAGCTCTAAAACAGAAAATGAGGATACCGCGGACGAACAGGATGAGACAGATGAAGATGATGAAGATGATGAAGCAGATGAGACACTGGGAGGTTTTATAGTCGGAGAAGAGGATGAGCCTATGGAAGAGCTGAGTGAGGAAGAAGAGGAAGATGAATTCGATGATGAAGACGAAGACGACTGAAATTTTGTGCTTTCATGTCAAGGTGTGATGAATTTGATGATGAAGACGGCGATGACCGATAACACTGTCGATAAAGCTCTGGTACTCTCATATGAAGATGTAATGTTAGTGTTAACAAGTAGCATCGTCACGTACTGAAATGTACATATTGTGTGTTTTTCTGCTGCTGTTTCGAAACTGTTGTGGAAGTGCTCATTCGGCTGTTGTTATATCCAGTTACTTTTGTTTGCTCAAGTTATGCATTTTTCCTAGTTCATCTCTCAGTACAGATGCGTTGATTTTCGTCTAATATTTGCATTGGGTTAGTGCTTGCTGATGCAGATAATATTTCTAAGCTTCTACCGAACGGCAACCTGTGACGAAATCAAGACGATTTTCCATGTAAAAGAAGTCAGTGAGCATGCTGAAGAAACAAAGCAACATGTTTAGTCCATATTAGTTATCCATGTTCATGAGCTGAAACCATTACTGATCAATGAAATTGACTTCTTTTTTGAGGGATCAACGAAACAGACTTGAAATGGAGTAGTCCATTTGTCATTGATCAATGAAATAGACTTCTTTTTGGGGGATCAACGAAATAGACTTGAAATGGAGTAGTCCTGAAAGCACCATTTTTTCACCAGGCTGTCTGCAATTCTGCAACCTTCCCAGTTCCTACAAATCAAAAGACACATCATGCATCATCACAGCCTTTTAATGTGAGGATCACCATCCCAGATTGGTAATCGAACGCTGAAGAAACAAATTAGAATGGAGTTTTAAAAAGTTTATATATTCGGAGAGAAAATCGTCAGCCCAAATACAAGTAATGAATATGGATGCATCGGCGGTACCTAGGCATCTGAACTTCCGGAGCGTACTGACTGTCGCTCCCTTCCACACCTTGCATCCCCACAGACTCCATCATCCGGATCCTGCACGAACACACGCAGAATCCGAATTAGCAACGACAAGCACACATATGGTAATAATCATAATCAAACTGCAAAGCTACTATGCCCTGCTGCTAGCTACTAATAATGATACTAGTGAATTGTGCCGAGCTGAGCTGATGAGGCGATCAAGATTCAACAACTGGGCGGGCCGGCAAAGGAGTCTATCTGCTGCATCAGGTCCTGCACCTCCTCCTCGCCGAACTCCCACGGCTCCATGTCCCCCGCGGCGGCCACGAGCTCCTCCACCTCCACGTCTATCTCCGCCTGCCCCTCCTCGAGCAGCTCGTACCAGATCATGTCCGTCGTGACGCCGCTCCGGGTCGGCGCGGCCGCTTCCTCGACGACGCCGGCCGCCAGTGCCAGCTCCTCGAATGTGAACCCGTCCTCCGCGGGCGGCGGCGAAGAGTTGGCGTTGAGAAGCCGCCGCTTCTTCTTGCCGTCGATGACGGACGCCGGAGCCGCCGCGCTGAGGCCGTTGCGGCGCGCCAGGTTGGCCAGGAAGGCCGGGCTCCTGACGGCGCGCGCGAGGAAGGCCTTGCACTGCTCCTGCCGCCGCTCCGTGCCCTCCACGCGGCGCTCCATGTCGAGCAGCGTCGCGCGCGCCTCCTCCTGCTGCCGCTTGAGCCCGGCCAGCTCCCGCTTCAGCGCCTCCCGGTCCCGCCGCAGCCGCTCCAGCTCCCCCTCCACTGGGCCGAAGCCGCCGGCGCCCTCCGCGCACGACGACGACGGCGACAATGCCGCAGCGGGACGGCGGCCGGTGTCGGCGCCGCGGCGGCGACGGATGCCGGCGAGGAGGTGGCGCTGCCCGCCGAGGAAGCCCGTGTTGGCGAACTCCCACCTGTCCGGGTTCACCTTACGGAATCCCTGCAACAATCGCACCACATTCATCAGCAAAGGAAGGAAAACAGCGATCGATCAGCAAAAGAATGGAACCGCCGCAGACGCACTTACGTAGGTGTTGAGCTGCCGGAGGAAGCTGGAGAAGTTGGCGTGCTTGAAGTGCAGCGGGAGGAGGCGGGCGGCGAAGGCGTGGGGATCCCACACCACGAAGCTGTTCCGCGCCGCGCCCCACGACACCACCGCGTCCGTCGCCGGGTCCTCCACCATGTCGAACGTCTTGGCCAGGAACGGCGGCACCGCCGCGGCCGCCGACAGGTCCAGCGGCGTCGGCGCCAGGCAGCAGCCCGCGTCGCCGTCGTCGTCGTCCAGCACCACCATCTCGGGCTCCTCCTGCTTGACGTCCATGGTCACGGCGGCGGCGGAGTCCATCTGGTTCTGACCGGAGTGCAGCCCGTGCAAGTGTTCGTTTGGTTGGCCGCTCGTGAGTGAGTGATGTCTGCTTTGGCGGGAGCGGAGTGTGGGGGTTGTGGAGTATTTATAGGAGTGGGATGGAACATTCTGGAAAGTACCAGAGAGAGGGGATGAATTGTGTGTCTATTGGCGGATATTTTCTTTGGAAGTTTCTCAGGGCCGCTAGAGCTCACTCGTGAGTTGGCTTTATGTCGCGCGGCCCGCAGGTAGATTTTTGGTGAATGTCGGGACTGCCCGGAAGAATCGGCCATGTTCCGAGCTTGGGCTGGGCTCGGCCCGAAGCCGAACATGCCTCAGGCCCAGATATATCATACCTTGTTGAAGTTTTACTGTCAAATGAATGTTTTTCTTGCCTAAAAAAACCATCAAATGATTTTTATATTAACATGCGGTATACCGAACATACAAAGAAAGACCCCTTCTTTGGATATATCACACAACCGGCTCGTCAAATTTAGCATCCACAACTCGCGATTGGGTGAATCTTTGAGGATGCCCGGTCTTTGGGTACGGGTTTGTCTACCGAGGTTGGCTCACCAGGGTCTTCCTTTCTTTAATGTCCTAAGTCACATGAACATGGCGACTACCTCCCAATGCCCGATGTGTGGCAGGCCAGACTCTCGACGCCACGCTCTTATTGAATGTCCTATGGCTCGGTGCGTCTGGGCACTGCCCACAAATGATATGGTGGAAAGTATGATCACAAATATTGAACCACAAGCAAAGCAATGAATTTTTACCATGTAATCTTCACTATACATGAAGAGTTTACTGAGACGGTCCTGACAATCTGGTCCATATGATATGCTCGTCTGAACGCCATCTATGAGCTTGAATTTCATCGTCCTCAATCCACACACGGTTTTATTCAGAATTTTCTTTCGGACCTTCGATCATTATCCGAAGAGAAACAAGGATTGTATCGCATGTGCCAACCACTTGCCGAAAACCATGGACCCGGTCACTCCCAGGCATCTCGAAGCTTAATGTTAATGGGGCGGTGGGGAGGCATGCAAAGAGAGGAGCGGTGGTAGTAATTTGTAGAGACGAGCACGACCATCAATTTGAACATGGGCACGATTTTTATCCATTTTTTGGGGATGGGTATAGAGAATGTCTTTATGGATGTGGATTCTGAAATTGTTCAACCTGAGTTGAATTCGACCCATTGCTACCTTTAATCTTGGCTCACACCCACCTTGACTGTCTTCCCAATCTCATCACCAATTACCTCCCCATTTGATCTACTCATCATCCCTAGTGGCATCTTCACGACGCGCGCCCGAACTGGGATCAGGCTAAACTTGTACTCCGCCAGTATGTTTTTCGGATCAAAATCTTCCATTATGGTTAACTCCTTACCAACCATCCATGGACCTTCTTCCAATGCCTTCCTTTTCCCAGATGCTCGTGGGAAAGTAAACAACAAGATATTCCCTTAAGCGAACTGAAGGAAATATGCCCTAGAGGCAATAATAAAGTTATTATTTATATTTCCTTATATCATGATAAATGTTTATTATTCATGCTAGAATTGTATTAACCAGAAACTTAGTACATGTGCATATACATAGACAAACAGAGTGTCCCTAGTATGCCTCTACTTAACTAGCTTGTTAATCAAAGATGGTTAAGTTTCCTAGCCATAGACATGTGTTGTCATTTGATGAACGGGATCACATCATTAGAGAATGATGTGATGGACAAGACCCGTCCATTATCTTAACATAATGATCGTTTAGTTTTTCTGCTATTGCGTTCTTCATGACTTATACATGTTCCTCAGACTATGAGATTATGCAACTCCCGAATACCGTAGGAACACCTTGTGTGCTATCAAACGTCACAACGTAACTAGGTGATTATAAAGATGCTCTACAGGTGTCTCCAATGGTGTTTGTTGAGTTATCATAGATCGAGATTAGGATTTGTCACTCCGTGTATCGGAGAGGTATCTCTGGGCCCTCTCGGTAATGCACATCACTATGAGCCTCACAAGCAATGTGACCAATGAGTTAGTCACGGGATGATGCATTACGGAACGAGTAAAGAGACTTGCCGATGACGATATTGAACTAGGTATGATGATACTGACAATCGAATCTCGGGCATGTAACATATCGATGACAAAGGGAACAACATATGTTGTTATGCGATTTGACCGATAAAGATCTTCGTAGAATATGTAGGATCCAATATGAGCATCCAGGTTCCGCTATTGGTTATTGGCCAGAGATATGTCTCGGTCATGTCTACATAGTTCTCGAACCCGTAGGGTCCGCACGCTTAACGTTCGATGACGATTTGTATTACGAGTTTTGTGTTTTGATGAACCAAAGTTTGTTCGGAGTCCCAGATGAGATCACAGACATGATGACGAGTCTCGAAATGGTCGAGACATAAAGATTCATATATTGGAAGGCTACATTCGGACACCAGAATGGTTTGGGTCGTTTCGGATAAGTTTCGGAGTATCGGGGGTTACCAGACCCCCCCCCACGGGAGGTTAATGGGCCACCATGGGCCTTAGTGGAGAAGAGAGAGGGTCAGCCAGAGGTGGCGCCCCCCCTTGCCCAGTCCGAATTGGACAAGGGGAGGGGCGACGCCCCCTCCTTCCTTCTCTTCTCTTCGTCCTTCCCTTCTTCTACTACTTGGACTAGGAAAGGGGGGGGACCGAATCCTACTTGGACCGAGAGTCCAAGTAGGACCCCCCATGGCGCGCCCCCCTAGGGCCGGCCACCTCTCCTCCCCCCTTTATATACGTGGGAGGGGGGCACCCCAAAGGCACACCAAGTCTTCTCTTAGCCGGGTGCGGTGCCCCCCTCCACAGTTACACACCTCAGTCATATCGTCGTAGTGCTTAGGCGAAGCCCTGTGCCGGTAACTTCATCATCACCGTCATCACGCTATCGTGCTGACGGAACTCTCCCTCGGCCTCAACTGGATCAAGATCTCAAGGGACGTCATCGAGCTGAACGTGTGCTGAACGCGGAGGTGCCGTACGTTCGGTACTTGGATTAGTTGGATCACGAAGACGTTCGACTACATCAACCGCGTTACTAAACGCTTCCGCTTTCGGTCTACGAGGGTACGTGGAAACACTTTCCCTGCTCATTGCTATGCTTCTCCTAAATAGATCTTGCGTGATCGTAGGTAAATATTTTGAAATACTACGTTCCCCAACAGTGCCATCCGAGCTAGGTCTATGCGTAGATGTTATATGCACGAGTAGAACACAATGAGTTGTGGGCGATAATAGTCATACTGCTTACCAACAACGTCTTACTTTGATTCAGCGGTATTGTTGGACGAAGCGGCCCGGACCGACATTACATGACCATGTTCATGAGACTGGTTCTACCGACGTGCTTCGCACACAGGTGGCTAGCGGGTGTCTATTTCTCCAGCTTTAGTTGAATCGAGTTTGACTACGCCCGGTCCTTGTTGAAGGCTAAAACAACACACTTGATGAAAAATCGTTGTGGTTTTGATGCATAGGTAAGAACGGTTCTTGCTAGAAGCCCGTAGCAGCACCGTAAAACTTGCAACAACAAAGTAGAGGACATCTAACTTGTTTTTGTTGGGCATGTTGTGATGTGATATGGTCAAGACGTGATGATATATAAATTGTTGTATGAGATGATCATGTTTTGTAACAGTTATCGGCAACTGGCAGGAGCCATATGGTTGTCTCTTTATTGTATGAAATGCAATCGACATGTAATTGCTTTACTTTATCACTAAGCGGTAGCGATAGTCGGAGAAGCAATAGTTGGCGAGACGACAACGATGCTACGATGGAGATCAAGGTGTCAAGCCGGTGACGATGGTGATCATGACGGTGCTTTGGAGATGGAGATCAAAGGCACAAGATGATGATGGCCATATCATATCACTTATTTTGATTGCATATGATGTTTATCTTTTATGCATCTTATTTTTCTTAGTACGGCAGTAGCATTATAAGATGATCTCTCACTAAATTTCAAGGTACAAGTGTTCTCCCTGAGTATGCATCATTGCTACAGTTTGTCGTGCCGAGACATCACGTGATGATCGGGTGTGATAGGCTCTACGTTCACATACAATGGGTGCAAGCCAGTTTTGCACAAGCAAAATACTCAAGTTAAAATTGACGAGCCTAGCATATGCAGATATGGCCTCGGAACACTGAGACCGAAAGATCGAGCGTGAGTCATATAGTAGATATGATCAACATAGTGATGTTCACCATTGAAAACTTGATGCGGAGCATCCTATGGACATCACCATGTCAAGAGTCCATTTGGAAAGTGACACGTGCCACATCTACTTCATACATACAAAGGTGAATCATCTCCTTTACACGTGTCCACTTGTACCTTTCGAGGATGGTATACTACTTGAACCCTCTCTCGTGTGCATACATAGGTGTGAGCGGAGCTACACATTCATCGAGGAGGAGTCCAAGAAGAAGAGAACATCTACACCATCCAAGAGGGAAGCCTGGAAGCGGAGAAGGAAGCGACAAGAAGAAGGCAGCGGCTCCCAGGCAACCCCGTGCGCACGGGCCCCTCCGACCCCGTGCCCACGGGCCTCCCAGGCTGGCGGTCCTGAAGCCCCCGTGCCCACAGGGTTCCGTTGGCCCGTGGACACGGGGGTCCCATGGGCATGATACACGCCCGTGCGCACGGGGGCTTCAGGACCGCCAGCCTGGGAGGCCCGTGGGGCACGGGGTCGAAGGGCCCGTGCGCACGGGGTTTCCTAGGAGGCGCTGCCTTCTTCTTGGCGCTTCCTTCTCCGCTTCCAGGCTTCCCTCTTGGATAGTGTAGATGTTCTCTTCTTCTTGGACTCCTCCTCGATGAATATGTAGCTCCGCTCACACCTATGTATGCACACGAGAGAGGGGTCAAGTAGTATACCATCCTCGAAAGGTACAAGTGGACACATGTAAAGGAGATGATTCACCTGTGTATGTA